AACCTGTATCCTCTGAACTTGGATGGTACATTTAAAATGGACAATTCCCTGTCTTTCCAAGTGGAAGTCTTCCCTCCCAGTACAGCTCAGACCTGCCACTGATTGCTTCTCCTCTTCCATAACCCAAACAGGTATCTGCCAAAATATGTGGTATCTCTTTTAACAGACAGAACGCAGCCAAAACTGCTGCAGGTCAGATGACACACGGTGAATAACATTATCTGGTGAATCTCATCACAGTTAAACAAAATTCAAAATAAACAGAGCTCTTCCCTCCCACTCTTCACATTTATGCCCATCATACAGGGAAATAAATTGAATATACAGAGCTGGGTAGAATGTGAATATCCATGAGGGGAGAAGAGCTCTGTCATTCTGGAGGAGCTGTGGTGCCTGTGGCGCCTGAGGCAGCGTCCTGGTTGTTACTTATCACTGGGAACTGAAGCCAAAGAGTTCTCCTCAAGTGGCACAAGAGCCAAAGCTGCTACACTCAATCTCAGTGCCCTGCTGGAGCTGACAGCTGAGACAGGGACATGCTCTGGAAGACTCTGGACACTCTGGCACTGGTTTTCTGTCAGTTGGGTGCTTTGCAGTGTGGGCTGGTTGCAGAGAGCTGCTGGAGTGCCTTCCAGGCAGGAAACATCCCCTGAGATTAGAGGTGTCGTTGGTAAGCAAGTCCTACTCCATGTAATTAAAAAGAGGCTTGAAAATTATTTACAAAGGTGTCGGAATGGTAAAATGTTATCTGAGCAGGTGTTTTATTTCAATGCAGGTAGCAAAGATCAAAGTCACTGATGAAGTCACAGACAAGTCTCCTGAGATCTCATCACCACCCCCCACTGTTCCTTCTCTTGGGGTGTCTTGGGCTTTGTTTTCCTTCTGGAGCTGCATGAGAAACTGCGCTTCATATTCAGGTGAACAGGGGTGCCAGTTCAACTTAATTAAGCTGAAGTAATTTACATTCCCTCGTGGCTGGTGAGTTACTGATACTTTTCCTGAGGCTAAACAGAAAATACTCTGAGTCTGGGCCTTCACTTCCAAAGGAAAAGAAATTCAGCTGTTTAGTTCCTGCTCAAGTCGGAGCTCACACCCTCTCCCACTGCATCCCTGGGCCACAGGAACTTTTATCCTGGCATCACCTGTGCCTGTATCAGCAGCCTCAGAAAAGAGGCTCTATGTGCATACACACACACACACACACATATACGTATATAAATAATCCTGCTCCTCTCACATGTGCAGCTCTTTGGGGGTTACTCACCTGTGTGCAGTAAACACATCTGGGACTTCATTGTGGCTACAGCGCAAAACTGATGCTGAGCAGATATTTTGTTTTATCCACCCCCATTTTAGCCCCTTTCATCCCTTCACATGATCTCGCACGGCACCTGCCCCAAGGGAGCAGCTGTGCAACATTCCCAGCTCCACCTCTGAGCATTATTTTCCCTGCAGAAGGGATGAGGAACGGAGGCACGGAGCAAAGGCAGGACAAGGACAAACAGAGAATCTGTGGCAGAGCTTGGCAGCGATCCCAGCTCCTCTCATCCCCAGCTCACCTCCCCTCACACAGGCCAGCCCAGCCTCAGAGCAGCAGATCCCAGGGGATTAGTCAGGATTGGACAAGCGGGGCTGCAAACCCAACAGGGTTGCAACTGCAGGAGTGGGATCACGAGCTGGCAGTCAAAAAGTTTGGGAACAGCTATTTTTGTGGCTTGTTAATGTGACAAAGCTTTAAAAATTTCTACCGCTGTAGTCTCTTGAACAGAACACTCTCATCCTGCAATAATACCATAAATTATATTTAGAGACTGGGATTGTGTTGTCTTGGCTTTCCTTTGTTTTTTTAGCATCTGCAATGCCTGGAGGAAACACGAGGCATCTTTAATCCTGAGTTAACTGGCATCCTTGTATCAAAACATATGCAAGTGGCATTCAAAATGTATGCATTCCAAATTACGGCAAAAAATTCCTGATGAAAATGAAAAAATATCTTCCTCTGGCTTTAAGGATGCTTTCAGCTCTCACCAGTGACCTTGACAGGGATGGTGAGAACCTAATGACAGGCATTTATGGTACTTATTACAGCACACTGAACAGTGGAAAGTAATTGCCCCCCAATATTTTGTGAACGCGTCAGTGAACTTTGATTTGACAATATTCACGGCCCGAGTTGGATTTACTTTCAATGAACATTTAAGTGGTTGTGTTTTACAAGTGCAAATACTTGTGAAAATCTAATTTTAAGCTTCAATGGTCACTGAAAGCCAGTTTAAAAGGCAACGAGGAACAGAATGATGCGACTTACGTAACGGAGGCATCACAAACTGGGACGATTCACAAACAGACAAAGAATTACTCACTGGAGAAATCACAGAATCATTTCAACACACAGATGCTATAAAGAATTTTACAGCTTGGTCAAGAAGAAGAAAGAGAGGCTGATTTAATCAGTGATAAAATGATTATTAATGAGTGATCAGCCTAATTTCCCTGAGTGTAAATCTTCCGACCCTGAGCCTGTGGAGTGTTAAGTGTGATATTCTGCAGGTTGAGGAGTTTTTAGAGTGAAGTTATTCAGGCTTAAGCAGGACCACAGATCTGTGCAGAATCCCAGCCTTAGTCAATTCCTGGACACTAATCCCTGCCAGTCTTTGAGGAGCTCTGCAAGTACAAACAGCTGGGGAGCCCCTCCCCAGCCATGCAGGGCACAGGCAGGATGCCACTATCAGTTCCAGTATCAGCAAAGGTCAGAGGACACTCCGATACAGAGGGGCTGCAGGAAGCCATGGAGGCACAGATCAGGGGGTACCAGCCTCTCTCCTCCCCTCTGCCCACCCACAGGCTTCCAAACTGCTTTTGCCCTGCTAAGGGAATGCCTCATCCCACCTCCAGTCAACCAGCCCTGCTCCTGGTGCTGCAAGGGATGAGGCCTCACCTGCTCATCCTGCTACTTCAACAAGCTTAGACCGCGCTTTCCACACCCTCCAACAGCAGGTAATCCCATAAACACTGGGGTGAAATCTTCCTCCCTGCTCTCTCAATTCCTCACTGCATGGATCTTATCCTGGTACCAGAGTAGTGACAGAGCCCTCTGAGCCACTTCATGTACTCCCTGAGGCTTGGGCTTCCCAAGGACACACTGTCACCTGGGCAGAAGGGAGCCAGTGGATTGCACCACTGACTTGGAAAGAGGCTCCCATTTGCTTCCATCTTGAGTACAGATCCTAAGCAGAACGAGGCAGGAACCAGAAATATGGTTCCACTTCTGTTCATACCTGGCTTTCCAAAATTGCTGTTCCTCAACATCAGCTCTCCAGAATGATCCCTCCACTGTCAGTGAGCCTCAGCAGCTGCAGTAACTTTGGATTCCTTCAAAGGTCCATGTTGTTACTCAGCTACCGCACTAATCTGTCTGCATGGTGCATGTTCCAGGGGAAGTGAAGAAATCCCTTATTTATAAAGACAGGGATTTCCATGGGATCTGCCAGTTTCTGTAGGGTGCACAGAACTCCCTCAGGCTCCTTGGGGCAAATCCAGCTAAAGAGTGCTGGGCACCACTGGGTTGGGAAGGGTTATGGAGATGCTATTTTGCAATAGCTGAGGTGTCAGGTTGAGAGAACAGGCAGCTCTCGAGTTTGATTGCCAGGGAAACAAGGACAGCAGTAGGATTTTCAATGGCACAGGGACTGATGTTGTTTCAGGTCAGCAGAATGGCAAAAGAAAGGGGGGCAATGTCAGGGCTCTGCACCAAAGGGCCTGTTATTCCAGTTGCTCCGTGTCACCTTCTGACCTTATGTTGACATTTTGCAGCTGCCTGTGGAACGGAATTTCTCCCTAGGGAAGAAGCATGTGAGGTTCTTCAAGCTGGTTCAGAACTGTCCATGAATTTCACAGAAGTTACATGTGCAGCAGGCACAGAGCAAAAGGCCTGCCTGTATCCACAGTCCCAGAGAGCAGCAGGCTGGGAAGCTGAGCAGCCCTGACCACCCAGACCTGCAGAATCTGAGACAAAGCCGAGCTGGCCCAATCCTGGATGTGCCTGACATCACACTTTCTCTGTGCTTTTACTGTCTAATTTAAATAACCCAAGTGATGGGCTTATTGCCACTTACACCAGGGCCTCATTAGCAGGGGCTTTGCCAAATTACATATTTAGCTCAGAACCTTTTCCTCAGGGGTCATACTTTCTGATTTGCAGCAGGTAATGAGATGCACTGAATACAATGTTCCTGGCAGGAAAAGCCCCAGAGGCACTGCACCCCTTGCTGGGATGCCAGGTTATTCCCTACCCCCCTCACCCCATTATCCTCCTCACCTTCCGCATTGTACTCAGATCTCCACTGACCTTTCCCATTCAGAAAGCAGAGAGGTGGATAATAAGAGATGCATAATAAGCTAAAGAAGTTGGACTGGGAGTCCAAAATACTCAGTCCTCAGCTCTGCAGCCCTCTTGCATGACCTTGCATAAGTCACTTAATCTCTCTGTGTTAAACGCCTCTGGTTGTGACCAAGGAATTTTATCCTGGTCTTCTGCAGTTACACAGGATGTTTGCAGCACAGGACAGAGAGCATCCTGGGATGGGTCACTATGAGCTCTAACAACCACAGAATCACAGACTGGTTTGGGTTTAGGAGGGACCTTAAAGCTCATCCAGTTCCACCCCCTGCCATGGGCAGGGGCACCTTCCACTATCCCAGGTTGCTCCGAGCCCGTCCAACCTGGCCTTGGACACTTGCAGGGATGGGGCTGCCACAGCTTCTCTGGGCAACCTGGGCCAGGGCCTTTCCACCCTCGCAGGGAAGGATTTCTTCCTAATATCTAATCTAAACTTACCCTCAGTAGGTTTAGATTATGGGGCTCCTTGGGGGAGCTGAAGTCGGACAAGGAGGGACAGGCTGGGATCTCCAGTTCACAACTCAGCAAAGGAACTAAGGACCAAGCCTGGAGATAGGTTGCCAAGGCAGAAGGTAAGGAAGGAGACTCTCACACCTCTACTTACCAATTCTGTCCAGCCTGTCCAGAGCCACGGTCTCAAAAGCCCTGCGCATCATGGGGTACTCCTCCAGCACCTCGTTGAAGTTGTCCACGGACAGGGAGTACAGGCGGCAGTAGGTGTCCGCTCGCACGCTGGCCGTGCGCCGGCCCCGCGTCAGCAGGCAGATCTCTGCAAGGACACAGCAGGCTGGCACAGGGGACAGAAACACCCCCTGCACTGACCCTCACACCCAGCCTGCTCTCCAGCTGGGCCCCACCTGCTCCCCCACTGAAAACATGTCCAGTGCTCATACCCTGCCTGTGCACTAACATTTAAAAATACCGGGGGCTCCGTTGTGGCAGCTGCGACACGCAACTGCCCCTCGGGGATTCTGCTGATCTAATTAGCCAGGCAAGTTTTGTTATGGTGGATTATCAAAGATACCATTTGTGCATTTCTACTGGAGGAGCTGTCTTTCTTCAGCTCCTTGTGGGCACTGGGAGCACAAGGTCAAGCCGTGCTCTCATTGAAGCTGATTCTCTCTAAATTTGTAGTCAAGGCTCTATGCTGAGCTGTGCTTTTGGTGCCTGGGTGTAATTTTGATCCCTACACCTGGAACATTTGTCTTTGCACAGTTTTCAAAGATTTTTGGGGACATACCACATGCTTACAGACTGTCAGGGAGAGCCACATTAATGGCACCTACCAACTCGCTATGTATTCACACCGCAGGCATCCCCTCGAAGGACGATGCTCAGCTCTTACAGATCAGAAAGCCCTTGATTCAACCACAGCTCCTTGAACACTCAACAGTGACCTCCCAAATCCTGCTTTTCCACTGCTTACACAGAGTATGGGCAGCTAAGACAGGCACTTCAAGACAGCTGGTGTGACCTAAAGCCTGACAGTGCTCTGCTCTCTGCGTATGCTGGGTGTCAATCCACCATTCCTTGGATCCATGCTAAGTCTGCCCCAAAGAGTTGTGTGTATAGTACCTACAACACAAGCAATGGGCAATTTCAATCCAATCTGTCAGTCAGGGTATCTCTCTAACTCCAAATCCCAGCTTGCAGACATGCAAAATCCTTGTACTCCAGGGAGGTGCAGAGAGGTTGTTTCATGGGAACTAAGAGTAATAGAAGTGTGGGTAATGCACGATAGGGATTTTTTAGAGAAAATGCTTCACAGAAGGGAAGGAAAGGCAGGTTTCATTCTCCTCTCAGCAGATCATTAATGGTGGTGCTTTCAGTGCTTGCACCACAACATTCATCTACCAGAGGACTGCCTGTCTTGGGCTGTCTGAGCTCTCTATGGGGCTCTGGCAGGAGAGGGGGCTTTGTGTTACTCATAAGAGCAATATCCTCATGCTAGTCCCAGAACTCTGCTGCTGACACATTTTGCCTGCCTGCTGACCTTCATGACATTTTGCTGAGCCACAGGCTGGGGAGATGATGGACTGTGTTTTTTCCTCCATGTTTACCCAGCACTTTGTGTGGTGGATGCCAGACAGCAGGACTAGGCAATACTATAAATGTGTCTGGACATTTAAGAGTGGGCCATTTTTTACCTTTAGGGTCTCAGCTTCACTGATCTGTCAGTATTTGGGGGGCAAAAGGAAATGGCCCTGTAAGAACAAACCTCCCTCCTCTGTTTTGCTGTTATTTATTATCTGGCCTCCTGCAGTGCCCACGAGCCCCAGTCACCTCCCAGTGCACCACCTGCTCTATGGGAAGCTGCAGGGCATGTGAGATGGAGGAGGTGCCTGGAGTGTCAGTCCCATGCAGAGCCATCCCTGTGTGTGCAGGAAAATTTAGGGAATGTATGAGCATAGCAACGGGTGCCACACCTCCGAAGTAGGAGCCGTCGGCCAGCTTGGTCTCCTTGTTGCCCTTGGTGAGGACGCTGACCACGCCGTGCTGGATGAAGTACATCTTCTTGCCGATGGTGCCCTCGCGGATGATGTAGTCACCCGGCTGGAACACCTCGAACCGCAGCTTGGTCAGCATGGACGTCACAAAGTTGGGGTCTGCGTTGGCAAACAGGGGCATGGAGGCCACCAGCTTCCGGCAGTTGAAGTTGATGATTTCCTGACCATGGTGATGCAAACGAGAGAGAGGGGGGAAATGGAGGGGGGAGAAAAGATGGGACAGGGAGCAGAAAAGACACACATATGTTTAATCAACACCTAATGCTGTTCCCTTGGTGCAGGCTGGAACAGGCTCTGGATGCTGGTGAGCTGCAGCTGACAGCCCAACACCATGCTCCGCTGCCTTGATTCCTGTGCTTCCTCTCTGAGCAGGGACAGCACTCCCAACCTCCCAAACACACACAGTGTTCCTCTTTCTGCAGGAAATCTTGGCCTGTGAGAGCTGCAGAGCGCTGGTGAAATGCTGTATGAAACAGCCCAGGGCTCCTCTCTGGGAAGATGTCATAACTCACCTTGGCAGCCCCACATTCTCTGCTGCCCTTGCTTGTCAGTGAGATATTAAACTGCACAAATGTGCTGAGGCACTGGGAGAAAGAATTATCCTGGGCAGATTGGGGACAGTGTCAGGAGAGGGGAGGGAGAGGAGCCACCAGTCACTGGGGCATGGGCTGGATCATCAGCCTTGGCTGAAGAAAGGCCAGCTCAGCTGTTCAGCTGTCACACAGCAGACGGGCTGTGCCTCTCCTGTGGCTCGGTGTCACTCGGGGGTTGTGACAGCACAGGAGCTGCTCTGTGTGTGTCAGCTCAGACCCAGAGAGTGGCAGAAAGTGATACTGAGTAAATCACCTCAGCACAGCACTCCCCAGCCACACAGGGAAGGAGCATATGGATGACTGGAGCAGGAAGAAAGAGATCTGGGGAAGCATCTGTCTCCTCCTCACTGGGAGTTTTAGAGGGTTGCCCTTTGAGACTTTGGCAAAACTACTTTTAAAACATGGCTGGCATTTCCTCAGCTCTTCTGTCTCCCATGGAGGTACATTACAGGGGGAGGAACACAGAAGGAAGACCCCTCCTAGAACTTGTGGGTGACATATTGCTGACACTCCAGGGAGAACCTGCATTGCCAGGCTTCAGCTGGGGAGGGGGGCTTCTGTAAAGACTTCCTTGATTTGTGGGCCCTGCTAGAAGGCTCCTCATTCCTTTGTCTCTGCCTGCTGTCCCAACTGGTGGATGGGGCACAGATGAGACCAGCCCATGACAGTTTTAGATGAACACACAAGGTGGGAGCTGCCCAAGGTGACAGGAAATGCAGTGCCCACTCCCTGCCCGCCTCACCTCTCTCAGGGGCTCGCTCAGCTCCCCCAGGATGCTCTCCTCATCAAACATCTTCCCCTGGTACCGGTGCTCGTAGTAGTCATGGATGCGCTGCCTCATGTCCGCCGGGAGCTTGTGGAAGGACATGTACTGCTCCACTTGTTTGTACTGTGCGGGGAGAGAGGGAGGGCAGGCATTACCTGGACATGCAACAGATGGTCCCTGCTCATGGACCATCCCCACTCCTGCTCCCCTCACACCGAGACAGGCCCAGGAAGGTAAATCTGGTGCAGGAAAGAGCAGCTGTCTGACCCCAAGCACAGTTTGGAGGCGTGGCTGTCATACTGCCCAAATGACTGCTCCATGCTTTAACTTTTAAACTAATCCTCAGCCAGTTACCATGTGGACACAACTCCTCACTCCCTGGGTGCAGAGCAGCCCAGGTGCCTGTCCTCCCCTGGGAGCAGAGCTGAGTAAGGACTGCTCAGCTGGGAACCTCCTCTCAGGAAACAGTGCTGAGCAAAGACTGTCCAATGTGCAGGATGAGCAAGGAAAGCACAACGTGCCCCCGCAGAAGGCTCTCCATGGCACACGGCAGAGTGGTGGTCAGGGTGTGACCTGGCAGGGACGAGCAGCACCTCAGGGCCTCACTGAGCACAGGACTCACTGTACCAGGGGCCACAGGAAGCAGAGAACACACCTGTTCTTGGGTGTGCAGTCACAGACAAACTGAAGGACACACAGAGGACCAAAGTCTGAGTTATCTGGCCTGCTGTTCCCCCCTGTCTGCCCTGCCACGATGGCACCTTTGTTTTCCCACCCAGGGCTGCACAGGTCCTGATTTTCCTCCCCTTTCCTGGCTCCTGTTGCCCCATGCACTTGTGCTGTCTAACCCGTCCACATTTCTGCCTAATGGTTTGTGTTAGAGAGCAGTACAAGGGCACACTCTGACTGATGCCAGAGGGTGTTTTGGGGATGAATAATGTTTCCTAAGAATAAATGATGCTTCCTCAAGGGCACAGGGCTGTAAGTGGGTCCCCTTGCCCCGAAGGTGCTGCAGGGACAAGGTGTGTGCACTGCAATGGCCACGCTCCCCTTCACTGGCAGGAGTACAGAACACGATCCTGAGTGTGTACCTGACAAAAGGACTGTGTTGCTCCTTTCCTATCCCTCTTTCCCCTTTTCTCCCTGCTAATTCTGTCCCTGAATGTCCCTGTGGTGCAGCTTGAGCTGAAGAGCCTATTTACTGAAGTTGTGCTGGTTACAGCCACTCCTGCACACGCCAGTTCACTGCTCTGGTACAGCCTGTGCCGGCCCTGCCTCACATGCCAACAGCTCCACCTGCACCAGGGAGGGAAGGAATTGCTCTGAGAAGCCAAGGTGGCAGAGGGGACACTGGGGCTTTCCTGGCATTTCCAAAGCAGAGGAGCTGACTGTAAATATTCATGATCACTCCAGCCTGATCAAAGTCAAGCGAGTCAGCCCGGGCAGAGCACTGGCAATGAACCCTGCACTGCATTATTGGGATTTTGGAGTTCTGCAGGGACTGGCTGGATGCTGTGTCAGGACAGGATATGCAGGGTGCTGGGAGGGAGAGAGGCAGGGAGCAGAAACCAGGGTCTCACATGTTGGCAACTCCATGGCCTGACTCCAAGGAGAATTTTGCAAGTTATGCTCTTCAATGCAAAAAGTTTGTCTCAGATGCCTAAACACAGACATGTCCTGCCACTGGAGATGCACTGCAGCATGAGACATCCATGGAACCTGGCAAACTGGACATGGGACAAGCAGGACACTCACCATGGAAAGGGACACCATTAGGCACTAGCTTTGGCTGACTCAGGTTTATTAAATTTACCCGCTTGCTTTAATGCTGCATTTTTGTTGAATAAATTATTTACCAAAATTATCACCCTATACCCTCAGTTTTAGTCCTGTACCTTGAATTGGAGCATTCACCAGTGTCACAAGATGCCTGCCATCACCTGGTGCCAGCCCCCAGCCCCCACCCCTCTTCTCTCCACCACAAGCCCTTGCTATTCATCTTCAACTGGCCTTTCCTTCTTGGGAAAAACACTCCCATACTTCTCAAATTCACAAGCACAGGTTGTTTGGGGTGACTGGGACTCTGCTTATTCACTACTGTACGTGGATTTATTGCTTTGTAACACAGAGCAATAAATTACTGCTCTGCAATGTCCCTGGGGCTTGTCAGATTCTCCTGCCACCGCTGTCCCCAGATAAGGCTCAGAGGGAAAACAGGACAAATTTACTTCACCAGAAAGGTGCTGCTTCTGATTAGAAATTAAAATCACAGTTATAAAAGAAAGCTGTAAAATAAGCAACCATCATTCTCTGTCACTGTTAACGAGGGGAAGGTATCTTGTTTCTCCTGCCTTTGCTGGTGCTCCCTCTTCTCACCCAGGCAGTGGAGGGTTTGGGGGCCCTTAACTCCTGTAGGCAGAGATGGAGTCAGCAGAGATGCTCAGAAATGAAAGCATCAGTCCCTCTGAAGATTCATGTGGGGTTTTCCCCCTTCCTTTGAGCTGCTCAGCCAGGCTGAAGGCCCTGCTCCTGCAGGGTCAAGCCTATGGAGGGTCAAGCCTATGGTACCATGCACATCTGGCACTCTCTGAAGCCACTTCATGCCCCCTTCTGTGCCTTCCAGACGCGGCCAGGCCTCTCCTGACAGCCCCTTTCACCTCCTTCCTCCCTCGTGCTTGTCTGCTCAGTCTCCCACTTGTCTCCATGTCCTCAGCCTGACCTGTGCTCAGAGATTAGTGGCCTCTCTGAGTTCAACTAAAAAGACTCATTTAGGAATTATTTAAATCTCTCTGAAGACAATCAAGTCCATTTAAATCCCAGCTCATTTTCTTAAGTCTGTTTTTCCTCAAATAAGCCCTTGAAGGAGGTATTAATATATCAAAAGGAAACCATTTAGCTGAGTATTTTTGTTTCTATAACTGGCCACTTTTCCCTCCTTGCCTCACCACTCCCCTCCCCATCTACCAAAGCTCAGATCACTCACAGTCCAAAGGGAACTAAATATTTTTAACTCCTTCCATGCCCTCAATGCTCCTCTCTCAGGCAGGAATAAATCACTGGCTGAAGAGTCTCAACTTTGTCCTAGTTCTGAATCAGGCACATGGTGTGACTCCTGGGGTGTCCTGTGCAGGGCCAGGAGCTGGATGATCCTTGTGGGTTCCTTCCAGCTCAGGAGATTCCAGGTTCTATGATACTGTTTGCATCTTTCTAGAAATAGGCTGAAATCACTGTGGGACCAGGTTTAATTTCAATCTCAGTCTCCAAATCCGAGAGATGCACCTGTGTAAGGAAAAGGAGGCTCCAGCAGAGCACTGCAGGTTGAATTCAGGGAAAGATTACAGTGCTCTGCCAGCATTCCCCATGCTGCCAGGACAACCCTGGAAGAGTGGATTAAGAGCCATAAGCAGCCCCCCTGTCCAGTGCTGAGACTCTACCAAGTGGAATTTAGTGCTTCATGGGGCAAAGATCGAGTCATGAGATCCACCACACGAGGGTCTGGATGGGACACAACTGCACCTCTGTTTTATTGTCTCTGATCTCTGACTAGGAGTAAAACAGTGCAGGTCCCCAGCACTCAGTAATCATCAAACCCAATCAATGCTGAGTTCTGGAGTTTTTTGTCTCTTAAGCCATTCACATTTCCATGTTCAGGATTTATTCCACATCTTACTCAAAATGATCAGGACACACGTTCTCCTGGAGTAATTTAAGGGAAGAAGAGTGAAGTTCTGTAACACAGTAAAATCGCTCTGACACTTTTGGTGTGATCTTTGCTGGGTTTATAATTTTTTGCTCACTTTTATAATTTTTCTCTTCCTTCTTCCTGAAATTTTGCTGAGATCTGTAACTGGTGCAGTCTCCCACAGTTTATCCAGAGCCTGTAGGAAGACAGCTGGGGTGGCTGCATAGGAGGAACTGGGGGGGAACAGAGTGTGGTACAGGCAAATTGCAGCAGGTTGTTCAGGAGCCAGTGGTTATTTCAACACCACTTCAACCAGAACAGCTCAGACCACATCGACCTCAGCACCAAACATTATCAGTGCTACTTCTGCTTTTTGATTAATGAGCTAAATTTAAAACCCAAGCCTCTCTACACTTCAGCTTTGGAAGCAATTTGGTAGCTACCTCCATTCTGCAAGAGCTGCCTCCCCTTGCTGTTCACCAGCACCTGTTCAGGCAAGGATTGTCTGAACAGATAATCCCATTTCTGGGCTGGGGGGTGGCAACAGGGTCACTAGTGAGCCTGATGAAACCCTTTTTTACCTCATCCACCTTTGCTGCAAACAATGCAAGTGTGTGCTCCCTTTGGGGTTCTGAGGAGAGCAGATCCAAGAGCTCTGGGACAAATCTCTTTGCATTAAATGTTGTGGGCAATGCCCCCTTAGTCTGCTCTTACAGGTGCTCAGACAAAAGGGCTAATCCTGTTCATCCCAGGAAGGTGGTGCAATGGTGACTGTATTATGCACAAACCTGCACCTCCTGGCTGTGGAAACAGCCGGTTTTTCCTGCATAGCTCCAGCCTGGGAATGGCCCCCAAGGAAAAAGCCGTGCTGGGTTTGAGAGGGCACATCCCAGCATTAGTCACTAGTACAGCACGGGGCACTTTGGGACCTGGTCAATCAATCTCCTGAAACTCAGATCACAGGATATTTTGGACATGGTCAGGTCATGTCACTGGATCCACATATGGAGTGTGGGGGAAAAGGGACCGACAGCACTTTCATTACAAGAGCAGAACAAGGGAGGTGAGGTGAAATCTGTCACCAGACAAAGGCTGGGGATGGGGACAAGGGAACAGTGAGTGTGTAAAATTGGAAATCAGGATTCCTGGGAGCAGCCTTCTGCCAGGAGAGCTGGCTCCACGGGGAGGTTTCGCGCTTCCACGGTGATGTATTTATTTATTTATTTATTTGCGGTTCAAGTGCCAAAATTAATTTCAAAACTGATAATGAAGTTTGAAATCCCACACTGGGATCTGCAGAACTGCTGAGGCAAGAACACTTCCCTTTCCCTGACAATGCAGGCAGGCCCTGTGCGTGCACAGACACTGCTCGGACCAGGCTCCCATCAGCTGAACAGAACTGCCTGTCTGACTGCTCACAAATAAGATGTCAAAAGCTGAG